AAATATTCAAGTAGACAACACAATAAATAAAATATATAAAAAGAGAGCTTGTATGGCTGTGCTAAAGACACTTTTGACAAATTGACCCTGGATCACTCAGAAGAAGGACAATGGTGGACGTTAAGCTGTGATTGAGAATGATACACAGGATCTATACTACTAGTTCCGTTATATTGAAGGATGTATGTCGGACCAGAACAAAACCCTCAACAAGGCCAGTATTTGAAACCTGTCGCTGTCCTCTTCCCCGGAATACGATGACAATCATGACTCAGAAAGTCTTCAGGACAGTATCTCAGGTGAGTGTGATATGCTTGGTACCGTCCTCAGTCACCTAGTGCGGCTAATTGCAAAGACAAATCATAGAGCTAGATAAGACATTTAAATAGGAAATTTAAATCCCTTGACAATAAACTAGCATAAACGACAGCAAATTAAAGAACATCCCGAGAGAGAGAGAGAGAGAGAGAGAGAGGGAGAGAGAGAGAGAGAATTTATTCAGTATTGAATAGAGTACAATTGCTTTTCATACAACTTGAGTACGACAGTTGTATGTGGATGTTTTGAGGAGCAATATCTGACAAATTTCTCTTTATATTAAGAGCAAAACTTCTTATAGCATTAACATTCTTTTTGGGACATTAGGGGGGCAAGTGTCTGTCTTGATGGACCAGTTACGATCTATATGTCTCCTCTTCTTGAATAACGACTATAAATCTTAAATTTTAATGATAAATGTTATCAACTCACAACAGAAACATGTTTTCAGTGGCTTCCACGACTTGAAACTATCATATCTCTCATCGGCAATGAGCCGCCTCACACAGGCTCATTTACAGCACTGGGATCAGAAACAACTGACCTGACCAGTGCACGAGTGGGATAAGATAAGCGGGACACGGATTCATACATAACGACCGAAACGACCTGCAGTTGACGTCAGTGATGAGAGTGATTATCATACAATTACACAGCCCTATCAAATTGACTCTAAGATTGATATAATCCAGTCCCTAGCCAAGCCATTTCAGAATCTTGATGGCATCTGCAGAGTGCTGATAAACCCTTTGAACAAGGTAGAAATAGTATCTTTGACTATGCACATGCAAGACATGCACATGTGACATATGTTTGCTACGCAGGAGAACGCACTACAACACAGAGATTTATATTCAGTACAGGGGCATAACATGTTGAAACCATGACAAGATAATCAACAACGAAGAATTCTCGCCGGAACATATTGCGTGCAGAGAATATGTACCAAGGAAAAACATTAGGAAGAGAACATCTATGACAGCTACAACAACGGTAAATACTAACAGGCACATGTGGCAATTCTACAGGTACTGTGTGATTCAATACTGGCTCAATACTGAAAACATCATAAAAACTGTCTGACTTAAAAAAGGGCCAGTATCAGTCACGGTGCAAAAGGCCACGATGGTATAGCTATACTGTGCAATATCAGCACTAAGAGGAATGTTGTACCTGTAACACAATATCTGAGTATTTTATCTCCACAGGAGTGAACTCTCCTGGATGTGAAACCATGTTTGTCATAGTTTGTCGACTTCCGTCAACGCTCGTAATTCACTCAGTATATGTGGCCAACCATAGGATGAAAACCTTATAGGGGCCAACCTTATGGGTGAAAAAACACATTTTGACTTTTCATTATATTTCAAAAACCACAGTATCTTCGGAACAATTCAATTCATATTTAATACAGAGATACATGACAATACACATGGCGATCTCCACTGAAGTAAGTTGACGTCAAACGTCCTTATGACGTCAAAGCACAATTGTATCCTAGCACCCATAAGGTCCCTTTCCTCCTGGTGGGTCACATTTGTTGATGGTCACAATGAACTTGTTGATCATTTATTGACTATCTATTTTATTGACTATATCATCTAGCATGGGATAGGACAGTGAACTGTCATGTCATTGATGAATGTAGCTATAATGTATCTGATCACCACCCCTGTGTTATTTTCCTGTAGTTTAATCTCCTGTAAAATGCTTATGTAAGCATATTTATCATGTAGATCTTATTTCAGACTTCAGAAAAGCTAACATGGCTATTCGCAAGTGTGGTCAATACATACCCGAAGATTTACTTGCAGATGAACACCTGTGAAGATCCGCGATAGAATCAACCAATGTGTGTCAGCAACCCATGCAACGCCGCACTCAGCAATATTCCAGCTCTATGGCGGCAGTCTGTAAATAATCGAGTCTGGACCAGACATTTATCAACCAAGTCAGCGAGCCTGACCACCCGATCCCATTTGTCACCTCTTACGACAAGCCTAGTCGCCTTGTGCGGCAAGCATGGGTTGATGAAGATCTATTCTACCCCGGATCTTCACGGGTCTACAAGTATGAAACTCGGTTACATATGGAAAAGCCTCCTATTATATGATAAAAGTTGTGGTAAAGCTAGACAAAGGTATAGACCACTAGGAGTAAAACACTCAAACCTCCACCCTGT